TGTCTATATATAGGGAGAGAGAGTGAGAGAGAGAAAGAGAGAGAGAGAGTGAGAGATAAATATAAACAATAATTATCAATGATTAAATGCATTGAGTAAATAATTCTTATTACAATCATTATCTATCTATCTATCTATATATATATATATATATATATATATAGAGAGAGAGAGAGATAGATAGATAGATAGATAGATAGATAGATAGATAGATAGATAGATAGATAGATAGATATAATTTTTCTTTTATACCAGTTTCATTGAATAAGGACAAGGAAAAGCTGCATTTAAAGTAGTATAAACATTATATATATATATATATATATATATATATATATATATATATATATGTGTGTGTGTGTGTGTGTGTGTGTGTGTGTGTGTGTGAGCCCACTCTACCCCATCATATTAGACTACTGTTGTCTCTATAAGGTGCCTCTTCCTTTGACAGGTCTTGTTTCTAATCCTGCTGGGTGTCTAGCAACCCACTACACCAGAAAAGCCTGGTGGGAGAACTGGTTTAGTTGCCGCCCACCCGACCAGGCGGCAGATACTACTGTGTCACATGGTGCCACCAGCAGTCGGAGAGTAACCTAATATAAATACATTTGGAAATGTGAAAACACTGACTTATATAAAATGTCGGGCATAGACTATATATACGTAAAACAATTGTAATTACATGCACACACACATATACGCACGCACGCACATATACACGCACGCAAACATAGATAGATAGATAGATAGATAGATAGATAGATAGATATGCGTTGACTGAGACGGGTATATATATATATATATATATATATGAAGAAAAATTTGGAAAAAACAAACCAAAAATCCTTAAATGCAATTATGTTGTTTAAAATGAATGAAATGTCGACGTCTGGCGTTTCGGTTTAATAAACCTTCTTCAAGACAATATTCATTAAAATACAATTCAGTTCAATTTGACAAAGACGATGGACATAAAAAACAAGTCTTATCCAAAACAGATAACTGAAAATTTTTAGAATGATCAGCTTTCCGTTTAAACCGAAACGTCAGACGTCGACATTTCATTCATTTTAAACAACATAATTGCATTTAAGGATTTTTGGTTTGTTTTTTTCCAAATTTTTCTTCATTCTGTCGGATCTATATCCATTTACATTTGCTTACATATATATATATATATATATATATATCAAATATGTGGTGTAGTTCAATTTATATTACATGAATCATTCATACAAAAAGTAGATTAGTAAAGTTAATGATATACTACTTTTTGTATGAATGATTCATGTAATATAAATTGAGCTGCACCACATATTTGAAATACACACACACACACAAATATATATATATATATATATATATATATATAATGAACAGACTGAGGCAGATTGATGTAAACAGGTTGAAATATATATATATATATATATATATATATATATATATATATATATATATAGATAGATAGATAGATAGATAGATAGATATGAACAGACTGTAAGAAATAGATGAATAGATAAATATGTTCACATATATGGACTGATAGATAAATGTAAATAGACTGAGATAGATATAAACATTTTGAGATAGATAGATAGATAGATAGATAGATAGATAGATAGATAGATAGATAGATAATGGACAGCCTGAGATAGATAGATTGATAGATAGATAGGAACATACTTTAACAGATATATACATAAATATGTTGGATATATATACGGATAGATAGATATGAATAGGTTCAGATAGATATAAACAGTTTGAAATAGATAGATAGATAGATAGATAGATAGATAGATAGATAGATAGATATATCGACTGGGATCATATCGAGATGTAATACGAAACAGAATCCGAGAGAATGATCAGAAAAAAAACAAATAGGAAACATTTGTCATTCTAACATGTTTCACTATTATTAAAGCTTCATCAGAGAGTGAGATATGAGAGAAAAAGAAAGAAAGAAATTCTGGACATTTTTAAATTCATGTTCTTTGATTTTCATTGGCTAATTGTTCCTATTCCCGTTCATTCGATTTGTTCAAAGTTCCAAGATACATAGATAGATTGACTGATATCAACATACTGAGATAGATAGATAGATAGATAGATAGATAGATAGATAGATAGATAGTGAACATATTGAAATGGATAGGTAGATAGTGAACAGACTGAAAATTGTAGATAGGTACATAGATAGTGAACAGACTGAGATAGATAGATAAATAGTGAACAGACTGAAAGAGATAGATAGATAGATATGAACAACCTCAGATAGATAGATAGATAGATAGATAGATAGATAGATAGATAGATAGATAGATAGATAGATAGATTGTGAACAGACTGAGATAGATAGATAGATAATGAACAGACTGAAATAGATAGATAGAAAGATAGATAGAAACAAAGTGAACAGTTAGTTTCACTCCTCAATGCTATCTTCACCATTGACAGTCATTATACAGTGTTGATTCCTATGTCCGCAATGTCTTTATTTATCAACGCTCGATCTCAAATATTCTGTACTTTTTCGCTAGAACACTTGCTTAATTGATATTGAGCACTTGTCCGATGCAAATCCCCCTTCGCTCTCTCTCTCCATATATATATATATATATATATATATATATATATATATACGAGTTCAAAGTGTGTATCTTTTCGACAAGCTGAAAATTAAATAAATATATAAAGCTGTTTGTCTGTGTGTGTAAATATTACCGACGACATTGACATTAAATAAATGCGGTTTGGCATTAAATAAATGCGCTACGCCCACTTGAACGGAAAATGGCTGATGGCCGATTTTAAAGTGGGAATACCAGCGGACGTCGAATTGGAGACAACAAATATTTCAGCTCTCTCGGCATTTCCACTTTGGGATTCCTCAGGCATCAGGGACTGACCCTGACATTCCTCCTCCCAGTGCAACGTGACAGGTACTACCTGAGGGCATTGCCCCCCCCCCTCAACTGATATTCATAATAAGGTCCCAATAAGAAATGTTATTTTATCAAATAGATTAATCTGAGGGGTCATATTTTGTTCAATTTCTTCCCTAGCTTTTTGCTTAAAACAAAATCTCTTTATATATATATATATATATATATATATATATATATATATATATATATATATATATATAAAAAACAAGCAAAATAATCTAACCTAAATAAATAAATAAACAAATAAACGACTTCCGGCAAAATAACCGCCAAAATAGACTACCCACAATGCACCACTGACACGTATATATAAGTAGCCGAGAGAAAAAAAACAACACTCGTGGCCTGACGATTGGGTCTAGCATGAAGCAGCCTGTCGCCTCTAAGTGTTGACTTGAAATATTCACTTTTATATTTACATACGCTCTATCTCTGATACAGAGCACATTATCCCATAAATATAACACGCCTTAAGAGTATATTTCTTCATATATATATATATATATATATATATATATATATATATATATATATATATAAGAAAAATCTTAGAAATAGTCTTAAGGTATAAAGTGCTCAATGTCAGAGATAGAGCGTGTGTAAATATAAAAATGAACATAGAAGTCAGGACTTAGAGGCGACAGGCTGTTTCATGCTAGATGCAATCATCAGGCCTGACGATTGCGTCTAGCATCAAACAGGGAGTCGCCTCTAAGCGTTGACTTCTATGTTCCTTATATATATATATATATATATATATATATATATATATATATATAATATTTTATGTCAAAAAATATTTTACATCGGGGCACGAAATTTCTGTTTCGGAACTTAACTTTATTCCATTTTCAAGCGATATTAAGTAAACTTTTGATGAAAAAGAAAACATCTAAAGTTACCCAACATCGCTTGAAAATGAAACAGATTCAATTCCAAAACATTTTGTGGTTTACGTCTCGCCATGTAAAATATTTTTGAAATAAAAATATTATAATATTAAGTTCCACGTTTTTTTCGAGCACTTTAAAAAAATATGCTAAAGAACTGTGGAACGTTCTCTTTATTTGGGCATACACACACACACACACATACATATATATATATATATATATATATATATATATGTGTGTGTGTATGTGCGTGTGTGTATGTATATACAGTAGAGGTAATAAATCCATTGGTTAAATCCAAGTGGATCCTAGTAAAATGAAATATTAAAACTGATTCACAAAAAGAGTCAATAAATAGTATTACATAACAAAATTCAAAATTACCTCACATGGCGCTGCGGGTAGATCTATTTCAACTTCGTCAGTCTTATTCAACCCCGGCGTATAAACTGAGTTCGTGTCGGAATTAAAAATTTAACTGTGACAACCGTCGGAAAATGAATACAGAATTTATCCATTTCGATGTTTCATTCAGATGAAAGGCCCGAGACAGTGCTCAGGGGAGCGTGGAAGATATTAGCCTTAAAAGGAAGAGGTTTTATAAAATTAAACCCCGATATTAACCTTATGACATTAAATTGGAGTTATATGAAGAATGAAGCGTTAATTTGAAACTAAAAGAGGACAGAATTGAGGTTTTATAAATTTTTTTAATATGTATAACGTTAGGTTCCTACTTAAAATACTCTTCCAAAGATAAATTATACTTAAAAATAAGATATATTTAAAAAATTAAGAATAAGTCAAATTTAAATATTTATTTTATATTAAATTTAATATTTATTTTATATCAAATTTAACTATTTATTTTTATATTAAATTTAAGTAAGAATATATTTAAAAAAAAATTTATATTAAAAAATAAAAATATATTATAAAATAAAAATATAATAAGATAAAATAACTTATACATTTGTAACTTTAAAGATAAATTAAATCAAGTTATATTAAAAAAATACAAAGTTACATTTAAAATATATCTATGTTTTGGCGATGACTCTTATAATTAAATAGCATAATTTATCTAAATAAAGTTTTTTCGGCTTTGAAAGTGGTAAGCACCTAAGTATTTAGATCAAAGTTTGGGATTAAATTTAAGTAAGTATTGCACAAAGGTAAGTAATGTTGATATTTTTGATAGTATATTTTGAAAATGTAACGAATAGAATTTTAAATATTATCATTATTACATGTCGAAATGTTTGATAATAATAATAATAATAATAATAATAATAATGATAATGGTGAGATTAGCTGTTTCCTTATATGGAAACATTCGGCATTTGCTGACCGAAGAGTTAGTATCACTGTTAGTAGAAATTATAAAATCATTCTATTATAATACTTTTTCATGAAAATAGGTTTCTCAAGTCCACTCACTGTTATAGCTCTTTCTAGTAGAGATTGCTGTTTCCTTTCTAGCCTTTTGTTTAAGGTAATGTGGAACGTCAACATCTTGATTATGTCATTATTTTTTCTAGTTATATGTCCTATTCATTTTATTTGTTGCTGTTGTTGGATGTCTGCAAGATTTTTTTTTTAGGTTAATACTCTAGTTTTATGACATCGCAGGCTGTTAGACAAAACCATCAGTGTTGTTATGTCACAAAATGGCTGAAGACTGACAACTTTTATCAGAATATTTAAAAGTTTCGAACATGCGCATAGATTGTTCTTCGATGCTTGGCATATTTGTCCTTCAGAACGTGTTGGTATATGCTTTGTTAAAGCTCAGCAAAATATTAAGAAACATGAATATTTCGTCTGATACAGAGAAAGGACATGAGGCAAGAAAAGTGTAGTTCTACAGAAGGATGATGAGAATACCATGAATTGAACATGTGAGTAACGAGGAAGTTTTAAGTAAAAAGGAAAAATAAAAGACACGTATGCATAGAAGTAGAAAGAGACAACTGAAATTTATTGGGCACATAATGAGAAAAGAAGACTTGGAGAATTTGACACGCATATTGAAAGCAAGAGAGGGGGAGAGAGGGGGGGAAAGGGAGGAGAGGGGAAATAGAGGGGGCAGAGAGGGGGGAGAGGGGAGAGAGAGAGAGGGGGGAGAGAGAAAAACACAGAATAATTTCCTTGACGCCCTTGTGTAAAGGATTTGAAGAACAGTGATTAGGAGAGATAGGAAAATTACAAACTGTATTTATAAGCTAAAAAAAGGAAGTTGTTGATATCCATGATCGCCCATTTCTGTAAAAAAAAAAGAACAGTATTTAGAAACACAGAAGATGGTGGTTAATGTTGTATTTAAAGTTTTAAAGGGGCAGAGAAGCAAGGAATCGGAAGGGATACCCACGGCCGAGAAGGACAAGAAAAAAAAACGATTAGAATAAAACATACGGTTGAAGTTAACTCGTTCAACCGTCAAATGATGAGACCTATCAGCCAATCTAGCGGTACGCTTAAATTCATACAGTCAAGACTTCAAGGAGGAAAGCTCATCGGAAAAATTGTCCTGAAAATATTTATAGAAAAAAACAGAAGGAAGCCACATCACGGTGCTGGACAAGTGACTGATGTCGAGATGCCAGGTGAGGATAGATAATGTTACAGATCCTTCTTTGGATATTACCAAGAATCTTGAGATACACACCCTTGTGCCAATTAATTGAAACAAAACAAATAATTCCATTATTAACTTTTTTTACGTATTTTTCCAATGAAACATGACCCAGTGTACATGTTGGTACTTCGTATGTCCATTCCTTTCAGAGTGACCAATGATTCTCGATTGAATTTAAATTAGGAGAGTTTCTGAGCCAATCTATAGTACTTTGATTTGCTCACTGGTAAAGCTTGTCAGTCTGTTCGTGCAGCGTTACGGTACCTTGGAGTAATGTCCATCGCAGACAATGGCCGTAGGACAACTAATCGAAAGTCGAGACAATAGTGTCTGGGTGTGATTAAAATTTTATGCATTCACGGATGACGCAATATTTTTCAAGGTCTAACAAATTTCACCACGAAAATAGATTCATATTAACTGACCTAATCTGAGAAAAAAAATAGAAATCGATTACGCACTGTCACTCCAGAGGGTCTAAAACTGACCGTATGGTGAAAGAAAGAAAACTAAAATGGTTGTTCCAATTAATTTGCACAAGAATGTTTGTTTTGTTTTGTTTTACGGTATATCAACCTCAATGGGTTATTTAATGCCGACAAAATTTTTATTTCTGGCAATATGTTTTTCTTCAAAAAAAAATATTTTTCCTTGAAGAAATCATGGCCATATTTTTTTCAAAAAATGTATAGCTGTTTGTATTGCTGGCATTTTTTAAAAGGATTTTCCTTCTAAAATGATTGCTGGTAATAATTTATTATTATTATTATTACAAAGTATTTCTGGTATTTAAACCTATTTTTGCATAAGTTTCGATATTAACTATTTGCCCATAGCTGGGATCCTTACAGGTGCTACCACCCCGGATCAGGGTGGACCTGGGAACAACAGCAATTAAGAAGTGGTTCCACGCTCCTCAAAACCTCCTGATCAGAGGCCTTGCTGTTGGACGGAGTTTATCGTCATACCCAGGGCGCGGATGTAGTTTATTGTCATACCCTGGACGGGCACAAGGTTGTACATCAGACCATATATGACAGCAATATTCAATACACGGACGAATGGCAGATTTATAAATGTGCAAGAGATTCTAGACGGAAAACATGTCGAGCAGGACACAATAAACACACTTTCCTAACAGTAAACTAAGGGAGGATATATTCACCCCACTTCATGCCATTGGAAAATGTGAGCCAATTGTTTTTTTGTCTTTCAGTCTAACGTCGTAGGAAGTTGTTCGAACAGGTCAAGGATCTTTTTTTTTAATTCACCCCAAATAATGTAAAGTTAGTTATCGCAAATGTTAATTCACCCCAAGAAATTATAAATTTTAAATCAAAATTTGTTTAACTTGCATCGCGACGACAGCAAACCTCAATATGAAAAATTAGCAAAAATTAGGGAGTTCTTCACTTTTCGTAAGTGCGAATGATATTATCAGGAATCTTTTTACAATTTACAAAAAAAATGAAGAAAAAAATTTGGTTTGTCTTGTTTATCGGGATGTGGGCGAACGATGACCCCACACTTAGAAATAGTACACCAGATGACGCCTACATTTGGGGCGACCGCAAAGGTCAGCCCAACCGGAGTGCAATGGAAGGGTCTCGCTCAGGGAGAATTTGGTGTGAATTTTAGTAAATATAAAGTCTTTTTGTTTTGGGTTGAATTAATATTCTGAGGTGAATTAACAGAAAAGATTCCAGGTCAGGTAGACAAAGAATAAATTTATGGGGAAAAAGAAAAAGAAAAAAATGTAATAGTCCTACAAATTTAACAAATTTATTTATATTTGAAAAATGTTGGTTAACAGCCGAGTGACATTTACAAAAATCGAAATAACACTTGAATTACCGTCAATATTTGACGATTCGAATGTCAAATATTTTCTTTTTATTTGTATCTGTGCGTGTTGATAAGTTCACCTCATTTTATGTGTGTGAAATTTTAATACGCCAGTTTTTTATGTTTATGACAACTCTGAATTCAAAACCTGCGGAGGGTCGTTTGGGGACTTTCTGGGACGTAGCGCACCAGGTCTCTGTATTCGGCCCTTCAAAAAAAGTGTGGATGGTCCTGCACAAAACCTTCACCACTATAATCAAATCTCATGTGCTGTTGTCGGGCTGTTCGTTTCCTGGGAACTGATCTGCTTGACCCTCATAATGTCGTATATATATATATATATATATATATATATATATATATATATATATATATATATATATATATACACGCATTCAAATTAAACGTAAACCCGCATATTAAAATTGTAGGTTTGATGAATTGGATCGTGATTACGATTCCAATACAATAAATTATAACCATGGAATATTAGTGTTTGAGCCTTATATATATATATATATATATATATATATATATATATATATATATATATATATATATATATATATATATATCGACCATTCATATATATATATATATATATATATATATATCGACCATTCATATTATATATATATGGGGGGTATGTGTGTGTGCGTGAGCAGTCGTTGTAGCAACCATATCAATTGTAAGCAACATAGAGCGATAGGAAAATTCGGCTGGAATATATTTAGAAATTTTAAACAATGCTGATAATGAAATGAAAGGGAAAATATAAGATGATTTTCTAAGCGTAACCTAAGTATGGCATAAGGCTGAAAGTGTGCAGCACCCAATGAGTAGGAAATAAAATATAAGAATTGTATAGATAGCACTCAGCGTTGAAAAGTCGAAATTGTGAAACATTCGAATTTTTCACCGTCGACTAGATGACTATGATTATTTATCGAAATTTATAAAAAGACACCATCCTGGGCCTAATAATTCAGAATAACTGGTTTTTGTTTGAAAGTCAACAATTCTCGAGGAAAAACACACAGATTTTACAAGAGTTTGAACCTTCATTTTATGTAAAGATCGTCTGCGATTGTTAGAAAAATGTAGCGTTCTTTTTCAAGGGTTCTTATTGGTCCAAAAATAAAATGGTGATAGTTCAAATTTCAGTGTCTCTGGAGCCTCTTTTAAAGCAAAAATGCCAACTTCATTTCTGTAGGGAAAATACGAAATACTTTTTACAAGCAATTGCCTGAAATATTTGGTTTTGTCTCCTGTTCATTCTTAGAATTACTTTTAAGATTTTGTCGCAGAAATTTAACTGACGTCCAGAGTAATCACTAAGAAAACGGTTTACAATAGTAAATGTCACTAATAATTATCTCAAGTATACAAAACATACACACAAATAGGTAGTAATGGTGATCCTCTTGGAATACTTCAAGCGGCAAGGATTTTACTACACAGACTAATGTAGATACCTCCATAAAGTCACGGTGTCTTTAAAATGAATTTAAAAAAATGAAAAATCTTTCTTGAAACTTTTGTTTTGGGTTTAGTTTCAAGCGAATAGATTAAATCTAATATTCCCAACAAACAAAATACTTTGTTGTATTTCAAAACTAAGTTAAATTGACTGAAAGGAGTTTTCGTTTCTGAAATTGTTGATTTTAAGCCATCTTACATCATAATGCAATTTTCTTTAATAAAAAAGAAATCTTTCAAAAAATCAAATATACTTTTCTGAAACTTTATTTGAGGAATATTAACTGATTTAAAGTTTAATTAATCTGTTTGAAATAAATATTGCTGACATTTAGTTTAAAACAACGCAGAAATGCATTTTTAACACAGAGTTAGGTGTTTATTTAAGGTGGTTATACGCTAACAGAGGTTCATCCAATTTTTTATGGTAGACATACTTGAGGAATATAACGTGCTCGCCTTCTTATATAATATAATATACCAAGTATTCTATAAAATTTAGGAAAATATTCTCCGTAATCTAACGTTTTATTCAATTTTCCGTACTTTGGCGTTAAATTTAATATAATTATCGCGTAATATCATTGTGGCGTATCCGTATTATAAAAAAGCGGCACGTTTATATACAGACACAAAAAATTTCAAAATTCTTTTAAAAATATTGGTGCTCGATGAATTGTAGCAAGCTTTTGCATTTATGATTAATAAATATAATTTTTACTTAATAATCATATGATATAAACTGTAAAAATTAATATAGAATTTTAAAAGATTTAAAACTTTTTAAATTATTCTAATTAAAATTTAAAAAAAACAATTCTTGTAAAAATACGTTAGTCATCGAAAATTTATATATCTTATTCATAAAAACAGTTAAAAAGATTTTTTAATTAATAATGTCTTAGGTTTATTGCATTTTTTATTTTACGATTCAGAGAAAATTTTTGGTAACTGGAGTCCTGTTTTACAAAAAAAATTATCAAATTCCCAAGTTCTGCCTTTAGCTAATATAAACGTTAAGCGAGGCAAAATTTAATTTCTTCAAATTTCATAAAATCAAATAGGTTGGGGTAACAGATGTAAAAAATAAATATTTTAACATGATTTTCTTAACAGAAAGCATTTCTAAGATAATTTCATTCATTTGTGAATGAGTTTCAAAAGTTTCATTAAAATCCGAGAATTATTTGAGTTTTGGAAGAATTTTCAAATCAGCGTGTTTTTCGCCACAAAAAAAGGCGCTAAAATTTCCTGTACTGATTTTAAGTTTTTTAAATCTTATTATTTTCTTCTTCTTCTTCTTCTTCTTCTTCTTCTTCTTCTTCTTCTTCTTCTTCTTCTTTGTCGTCGTTTTCTTCTTTTTCTTATTCGTCGTCGTCGTCTTCTTTTTGGTCGCCGTCTTCTTCTTCTTTAAAACTTCCTCATTAATCCCATGTCCTGTTCACGATATTCTCAGCATCCTCCTGTAGAACAACAACTCTGTTCCCGCAAGTCTTTTCTCAAATTGTGCTGAAATTGTTCATGCTAGATGCAATCATCAGGCCTGACGATGGGTGACCTGATGATTGCATCTAGCGTGAAACAGACTGTCGCCTCTAAGTGTTGACCTCAATGTTCACTTTTATATATATATATATATATAAGCAAATATATGATTGGTGTATACGGAATGAATTCCAATGACCAACAATTACTATTCTTAAAAGAGTGCTCAATACAAAGTAGAGCAGATATAATTACTTATTTAAAAAAAAGACAAAAAACATTATAACATAAATATGTTATAAAATCACAACAAAAATAGCCATTTTGTTTCAACACCCCCGGTGTCTTATCAAGTGATGATGTTGAATGTAAAATAAAATAAATGTAAAATAAATAAAAACCATTTATTTTACATTCAACATCATCACTTGATAAGACACTTGAAACAAAATGGCTATTTTTGTAGTGATTTTATAACATATTTATGTTATAAATTGTTTTTTTTTAAATAAATAATTATATATATATATATATATTATATATATATATATATGTATGTGTTATATATATATATATATTATATATATATATTATATTATATTATATTATATATATATATAAACTTTTTTGTAAGCAACAAAGAAAACAATACGAAACTGTTATGTGATATCATACCCTCTCTCGTTTGATCACCGAGGTTAAGCAACGTTGAACCTGGTCAATACGTAAATGGGTGACCGCTGGGGGATACCAGGTGCTGTAAGCTTGGATGTGCGGGTCATGTAATGAATAAAAGCTGGGGATTACAAATCGGAGAGCCGAGTTCGAATTCCAGTCGGGTTCGTTATATTCGCTTACGTGCAAACACCCTTAGAATAGGTATGTATCCACTTTTTCATCTCCCATCTATGGGTTAAACAGTAAAGCTTGTATCAGAAAAAACATCATTTTACCCAAAATGTTCTTACAATCTAAAAATATGTTTCGGCTTTAAATAAACGCAAAAAAGGTTGACAAGCCGTAAAAAATAAATCAATGGTATTGTAATGGATGCTGAACAATGTCCTCACCGAAGAAGAAGAGACTTGACGCAACAGAAGAATGTTGAGAATACCATGGAAGTAACATGTGAACAACAAGGAGTTTTAAAGAAAATGGAAAGAAAAGACATTTATAGAAAGAGGGAGTTAAAAGTGCGAAGATACATAATAAGGAAAGAGGGCTTGGAGAATTTGATACGCACAGGGACAGAGGAAAACAACGCATCACCTACCCGGCGAGCTTGATTAAGTGGATGACGGAACAAGGTTTAGGAGAGATAATAAAAACACATTTATTAAGAGATACAAGGGAGAGGAAATTGTGGAGAGCCATGATCGGCAACGTCCTGAAGAAGAAAAACCACCAGCATGCGCGTGCGTGTGTTTGTGTGAATATATATCTGCGTAATTTACTTTGTGCGCACACACACACACCCACACAAACATGCACACAAACACACACACACTAACATATATATATATGTGTGTGTGTGTGTGTGTGTGTGTGTGTGTGTGTGTGTGTGTGTGTGTAATTGTTAGGGGGTGTGCTAAAGTATGTCTATAAAAGTAGGTACGTTCCAAAGATTACAATCGAGACAGAAAAAAATAAAATAAAAAGAAATAACACAACAAAATGGCTGATGCTCTTCGGAAGCAATGGACGACCCGTGTCACGTGACCTGAGAGCCTCGTTTTACTGCCGTCAAATTTGTTTCAATTACGGCGGCATTCCTTGCGTCTCAGGTTATGTATCTGCTGATGTGGCTAACTGAAACGATAGAAGGAAAGGACGAAGGTAAGAACGGAGTGGATGGACGAAGGAAAGAAGGAAAAAAAGGAAGGTGATAAGAAGGATTGAAAGAAGAAAGAAGAGAAAGAGAGAGAGAGAGAGAGAGAGAGAGAGTAGGAGGAAAGAATTTTTTTTAAAAGTGGCAGAACGTCTGTAGGAGACAGAAAAGAAAAGTAAACAAATGAAAAGAAAAGAAAGAAAAGCATAAAAGGAAATAGAACGAGGCTGAGAAGAAAAAAAGAAAAGTGAGAGAAAGGGGAGAAGGAATAGTGTTATACAATGAGAGAGAAAAAAAGGAATGGCTGAAAATAAGGATGGAAAAAAGGAAGAAAAGAAGACAGCGAAAGAAGCTGAGAAGTAAAGAAAGAAAGAAAGAAAGAAAGGGGCTTCTTCACGCAGATAACTGCCCTATGGAACAGACTCCCAAGAGGATGTTTCCCTGGTCACTATAATCTTAACCTGTTCAAGTCTAGGGTCAACAGTTATCTTTCTCTCTTATTCAAGTACCTTTTAACGTAATCCTCTACCTTGAATGGCTACCGGCCCTTGTACAGGGTGAACCTTACTATAAAAAAAAGAGAAGAAAAGAATAAAATGGAATGTGTCAAGAAAGAAAGAAAAATAAAGAAAGATAGCGAGAAAAAGGGGAGGAGAAAAAGCAAAAGAAAGGGAGGGACGTGAGAAGAAAGAAAGAAGAGAAAAATCAGAGAGAGAGGGAAGAAGAGAAAAAAAGAAAAATAGGAGTAAAGAAGGAAAAAGAAAAAGGGAGAAAAAAGGAGGGAAGAATTAATAGAGGCGAGGAAAATAAAGAAACGAGCTTTATGAGTATAAAAAAAAAAAAACAGGAAAAAGACAACTTAATACGGCTTGTAAAATCTCTGAGAACAAAGAGGGTCAATATTTAAGTTGTCATTGGACCTAAGAACTAGACATGATCTTAAACAGCCTCATCAGGTCTTGACTCTCATGCGGATGTCAGGCATGACATCAAGCTCGTTCAGAAATGTTTAAACCATCAGCTGTATAGAACCGTTTTCTCAGACGAATTATTACAAAAGTATTCACGTGAATGAACACTGTGGCTCTTAAAGAGGACTCTCCTTTGTCGGATCTGGTACTAGAGATTCAGAAACAAAGAAATTGTGCCACATTAGAGAAATCACATCACTTGAGAACTTTCAACAAAGGCTACATTGAAAAATTAGTATGAAAATATTTATAGATAAGGCACAGAGAAGTTATATCGCGGAGGTGGGAAAGTAACAGAAGCCGAGATGCCAGGTCTGGGACAATAACATTGCCGATTCATGTTCGGATTTTTAAAAAAAAACACAAGATATATATTAGAAGCCTCAGACTTATAACTGTGTGATACGAGCAAGAAAACTTGTATAGCACGACACCAGGAAACACTTCCTTGGATAAAAGTTTCATTTTTTGGGGGAGGGGGTATTTCTAGCTAGGAATATTTGAAAATTTGCATGCTCTGCGGAGGACCAAAGTGTTATTTTATGGCATCACAGCAAAGAATCAATTTAAAAATTACGCGAGGATCAAAATTTCAGTTTTCGGCCTTTCTGACTCGGATCAGTGGAAAATATGTGTACCGGAACAAGAATAAAAAATCTCAGTTTCCGTCTTTTCTAAATGAGGGATCAGTGGACAAAATATGTTCACAATGCATTGTATTAAAATCTCAGTTTTGGTTCATCTGACTCGGATCAGTGGAAAATATGGGCGCACTTCTAGAAATCAAAATCTCAATTTCCGTCTTTCCTGAGTACAATTACTGGAAAATATGCCCGATTTTCCAAGGATCAAAATATCTGTTACCGTCTTTTCTGACTAAGATCAGTGGAAAATATTTGCGTTTTTCCATGGATCAAAATCTTAGTTTCCGTCTTTTGTGACTAATATTAGTGGAAAATATTTGCGTATTCCATGGATCAAAATCGTTGATTCCGTATTTTCTGACTAAGATCAGTGGAAAATATGTCTACTCAACATCGTATTAAAATGTCAAGGATTTTACGCTTTTCCTAGAATCCATTTATCAATTCCGTCATTTCTCTCATTAATCCGTAGAAAATTAGTCCATTCTACCATCTATCATCCGAGTATCAATTTCCGACATTTCTGTCTAGGATTAGTTGAAAATGTCTGCGGTGCTTTTCTTTACCCCCCACTCGATCCGTCCCCTGTCGTCAATTTACTTCAATCCTTTAAATAGATTTCTCACCATTTTCTTTTGCTTCTCTTACTTTCAGTATACACAATGTGTGTTAAGTTCTCCAAATCTTCTACGACGTGTAACAGCAAAATTATCCAACTCTTGTAACAGCATAATTATTCATCCCACTAAAACGCTTAATGTCTAACCCCCCCACTAAACTGAGTTTCTTTTCTCCAGGTTTTCAGATAAGACGTTTAGCCATCCTGACACCATTTGTGATAAGAATCGCATAAAAATCCTTTGATTTTTTCTGTTAGAAAGAGAACAGGTTAAAATCGTTTTGTGTCAACAATGAGCAATGGTACGAGGAAAAAGATCATTCAGACCTTCAGTAATGGTACCACCATTCATACTCTGGCTTCCATCTTCAAAGTCCATTCAAGAAACAGAGAATAAGTTTAAAGAAGAGAGAACAGTAAAGAGAAAAACCTGATCAGGAGGTAACAACTTATAGCTAAAGAAATCAATTAGAAAAGATCCAACTCAATCCATAAGACGTTTCGAACGTGAAAGAAGAGATTCAGCTATGACAGTCCAAAGAGCAGTGCAAAAAGACTTGATAATGAAATCGTACATGAAAACTTGTTACTCCAGGACATAATCTTAGAACGTTAGAGAGGGTGAAGATTATCTTGAAGGAGCTGGAAAATCATCCCGGTATATATATATATATATATATATATATATATATATATATATATATATATATATATATATATAGGACAATTTATCGGACATTCAGGGTGGTAAATATTGTTAATACTGTTTATTATAAACAGAGAATTTACTTAAATATTTGTATCAATAAAAAGAAAAAGAATGTATCCATAAGCACTCTTTTAACAACCCTAAATTAAAATAACAGAAAGCTTTTTCAAAAAATTTTGGTAATTGAAGGAGAAAGGTTTGAACTCACAGATATCTTTCCGCTCATACTCCTAATAGTCTTAGAGATAGGTGTAACTTGTGTTTAGAAGAAAAATAGAATAATAAAATACAATAATCAAAGCCAACTATTGAATCAAAGGAATGAAATATTTTAAAATGTCGACATAAAAACAAATTCAAATTTCCATATTATAGATTTTACTTTATTAGCTACTATATTTCTTTAACTCTTCAAATGTCAGATTTATAACTAATTCTAATTTCTATATTTCAATCTTTACACCATATTAATTAAATCTAATTATTGTTCCCCTGTTCTAAAAACTCTCTTTCCTTTTATCACTTCTCTTTATCCATATATTTTAGGGTTTTTTAAAAATATAACTTAGTATCTTTATGTATTTTTGAAGTATAATTTTATATTATTTAGATATAAATTGTTTTTGATTCATCTTTAAAGTTAAACTTTTTTTCTAATGTATAATTTATTTTATCTTGTATTTTTATTTTTAAATATTTTTTATCCTTACTTAAATATTTGTATCTATAAAAAGAAGGTATAAACATATAAGATGTCTTAAATAATTGTCGGACTTTGTCCATTTCATAGTTTTATGTCTTTATAAATATTTATTTGATTAAAAGGATGATTTATGTTGATTTTAGTATTTAAACCTTTGATCCCTGACCACCGCTTTACCGGTGGTAGAGAAAAATGACGTAATACCCAGCCACCAGTTGAACAGTAGGAGAGATAAATAGCATAATACCATAATACTGGTTGCTCAAAGAGTTAATAAAGATAGATGAACGGATTATAAAAACAAAACGGATTATCGGATAAACTGATTATCTGATAAACAGATTATCGGATTATCTGATAAACGGATTATCAGATTATCTGATAAACGGATTATCGGATAAACGGATTATAAAAAGGTACGCGGATTATCCCATTCAGTCAGGATGAGTCATCCCAGAAAACAGAGAATGTTCACAATTCGCTTAAAGAGAAAAAAAAATGGATGACTTAAACTAAGGTAATAAATGAGACTTTTAATATACAGGGTGATTGAAAAGTAACTTCCTATTTTATGTATGGTGGAATCACCCATGTAACTGTAACTTTTACAAGACGGGAGAGTCCATTATACATAAAATAGGGAGTTACTTTTCAATCACCCTGTAAAAAATATGAAGATGGAATTTCATTTGTAAGGACGCTTATGACAAGATGAAGAGTCCTCTGTTGATAATAAAAAATAGCGTGTTCAATCCTTGGGTCAGGTAATAATGTAACATAATATCTCAAGGATGAGGTGGATTAGGATCATGTAATATCCCCCTCCCTTAGTATCTTTCGCAGTCCATATGCCATCTAGTTGCATAAGCTCGTTGGGTAATTGTATATATACGTGTATATGTCTACTTCCTATACAGTGCGACCCCTGAATTTTTTTGTGAAAAACATTTTTCTTCCTCTAGATAGTGAATAATGTGACCCCAGTTTCTGGACAATACTAGTTGACCTACCGTAGCCAAATATTGCATTACTGGGCATCACCTGGGACATATTTTATAGCAAATAAAGGAACTTCGTTCTTTTTTTTGTACAAAGCTACCCCCAAAATGGTGAGAAAAACGACTTATCGTAAAAAGATTTAGATAACTTTTTTTTTTTCTTGGAGGCACGGTGGAGTAATGGATAGCGGTTCGGATTAAGGAATCGGAGAGCCGAGTTCGAATTCCAGTCGAATCCATTACATTCACTTGCGTGCTAATACCCTTGGCAAAGGAATCAATCCTCTTCTTCTCCCAGCTATGGGTAAATAGCAAGGCAGACCGGGTTCTATAGCCTTGAATGGCAACTGCTCAAGGAGAAGGATAACTCTGAATTCGAAAACTGTGGAGAGTCGCATATTGATATTGATTGAATATAGGAAACCACGGTGGAGTAATGGATAGCAGCACGGATTGAGGAATCGGAGAGCCGAGTTCGAATTCCAATCGAATCCATTACATTCACTTACGTGCTAATAATACACTTGGGAAAGGTATGAATCCCCCCGCCTCCAGCTATGGGTAAATAGCAGGACAGACCGGGTTCTATAGCCTTGGATGGCAACTGGTCTACCGTAGAAAGAAATAGCAGCTGCGAAGATACATGATCACCTAAGCATATATCACGCATGGCACATAACTGACTGACTTTTGTTAACTTTCAAGCCTGACTACGGTAGCTCCTTTACCCGGGACCTGCCTCCTACGTAACCAGAGTTTCTTCCCTTTTGTCATGACATGAAGAGCAAAACCTCATACTCTATGTCAATTAAAATCAATAAGAATCTTATATAGATGAAGAATTAAGAGTTGTTTTTCCTCTCAAATTTGCATTCACTGCCGATTCGCAACTGTTTTTCATCGATGAGATACTGCCGCCTTTATAATCACAATTATTTTTGTCAGGATTACCTGTACATAATGATGAATGGGCTTACCTTTAAGGTGAGCCAAAGGTACCGTTAGAATGTAGACCTACCAGGTAGTTTACGGTCACCGAAAAAGCATGTATTTTGAAAAAAAAAACAAAAAAAAAACACAAAAATTAAGCATGTACAATGCATGATTTTTAACCTCTTAAAAAAAAGTTACCATTGTATAGTGCGACCCTGTATATTTTGCGTAAAAACCTGATCATAAGGACTGGCAGTAAATTCAAGTACATACGGTACCCAATGTTTCGTTGTGCCACACTTGTTTTCAATATGTATACACATATATATTACATAAAAATGTCTTAAAATAATTGTCGGACTTCGTCCATTTCATAATGTGTGACGTCATTTGTTTACATTTGGATACGCTTTGAGCAGATATGAATGTACGTGCGAGATTCATCGAAGATTTTAGTTTAAAAGCAGTAAAATCGACTTGCTAATAGAAATATCCTCTGTGGCTCAATCGGTTAAGGCACGTTCGGCTATATGACGGTTCCGTATAGGATACAGGTTCGATTCCTGTCGGAGGTCGAATCCCGTTTATTCAGTCCGGTAAATGTTATTAATACTGTTTATTATAAACTGAGCATTTACTTAAATATTTGTATCTATAAAAAGAACGTATAAACATAAAAAAATTTGAAAATAATTGTCAGACTTTATCCATTTCAATATATATATTATGAAATGGATAAAGTCTGACAATTATTTTAAGATATTTTTATGTTTATACGTTCTTTTTATAGATACAAAAATTTAAGTAATATATATATTTATAGATACAAATATATATATATATATATATATATATATATATATATATATACATACCGCGTGTAACAGCAAAATTATTCATCCCACATAAAGCTGAATATCGAAAAGAACTCTAAACTAATTGAGTTTCTTTTTTTCCAGATTTTAGATAAGATGTTTAGCCATCTTGACATAATTTGTCACAAGAATCACTGAAAAAAGACTTTAAGTTATTTAGCTAAAAAGAGAACATATTAAAATCGTTTCGTGTCAGCCCCACTGTCTTCTCAACTAAGCAATAAAAAGAAAAAAAAATATTCTGGTCTTCAGTAATGGCAACAACGTTCATACTCTGGTTTCCATCTTCAAATTCCATTCAAGAACCACCAAGAGAATGGTGAAGAAGTTCTAAAAAGAGGGAACAGTAGAGAAGAAAACTGGATCAGGAGGTCACAACAGGAAGAGAGATCATCATTTCAACTTAGAGCTAAAGAGGTCAATTAGAAA